GCAGCTACAGTTACATGACATGACAGTTCCAGTTATATATACTATTGATTATGATATTGCGATTATTATTGTTGTTTACTTTAGTATGAGTTTCTGCGGAGCATAGTGGCTTTTAGTGCTCACGCCCCCACTATATTATCTTTTTCAGGTCACAAGGTCGGTCCAGAGGAGTGAGCGGAGCTGGTGGTCGTGGGTTTGTTTATATGTCTTTTGACGGACTTACGACATGTATATATATGTTTTGCCACGTTTTATCTTCCGTTGACATTTTAGGTTTTCGAACTCGCATGTTGGTTTCAGGATTTTGATCTGATTTGTCAGTCGGATTTTATATAGTTTTACATGCTTGTTTACTAGAAATAATCCGTTTTCTTAATAAGTTTAAGTTAGAAAAGATAACGGATTTTCAAAAAAGAAAGGTTTCTCAATAGCATCCCGAATCACGATTTCGAAAGTTAATGAGTATTAATCCAGATAAGATTTGCGAAAATTTGACTCTGATTTTATTAATTTAGCGGGGTGTTATATCGCCAATGATGGAGGGTTCATGCGGCGGCTGCAATGCGCGAGTAGGGTCAAGGGCTGCGCACGAATTTATGATTGTGATGATGAGAGGTGAAAAAAAGGGTGCTAGGTTGGGACATGAACGAGAATGAAAGAGAAAATCTCTTCCTTCTGCTGAGAGCGAAAGTGATATGCGATGAGGGTTGCGGGAAAAATAATTGACGAGCTAGGGGATTGATCTCTCCTATTTATAACCCTAGGCTTATAAAGTCTTCTAGCTTAGCTAAAGAGTAATTCAAGAGGAGGAAACCGGGTAAGGGGCGCATGGCTCGGGCGCATGGCTCGGGTCGGTTCTCCCAGTTCTTCAATAATGATATTATCAGCTTGGCTCGAACACACGATTATTAAAATAAAACCAAAAGAATGTATACATATACACACATTTTAATTAAATATAATATACATAATAATATAATATTTATTAATAATACACATTTAAACATATTTTACCAATTAGGCAATTTAGACATTTAATAAAATTAACAATAATATTTATTTATAAATATCAAGTAATTAGACAATTAATTTACAATTAGGCATTAAATAGCAACAAATAATAATGATAATAATAAAGATAATAAATAATAATATCAAATAATCCTTATTCAAACGGGGTATTACACTCGAGGACCTCGGCTCTATCACTAGTGACACGAGTGTCGCGGCTCGGTCGCGCAGGGTGCGGCTGAGTGCTGTCACACGCGCAGAACCACTGGCCCGAGCCGTTCCCGTGCCCAGAAGCAGCTGCTGGACACTGCTAGCTTGGGTGAAGTCACGACTGGACACTACCAGGTGCTGTCGGGCACTATGGTGGTTGCAGGCCACACTGGCACGGGTGCTGGCACTGGGATAGGCTGAGCTCGTCACACACACTGGGTGATGGCGCGACCTGGCGGGTGCTAACCTCTGCCTAGAGGCACCCCAGCGGGAGTTAACCTTTGTAGGCGCGAACTATTTTGCGCTGGGCACGCTGGGTGCATGGCAGCAGCCACGGTCGTTCTTAGCCGGCCGTTCGTCTACTTTTTTTGTGACATCATGACTCAACCAATATTTTGAGATATAAAAGGTTTGAAAATGCATAAAAGGTTTGGGATAACTTAGCTCGATTTTAAAATGGTTCGGGAGTCAAAATCAGCTATATGGGGTTCTTGGTCACTGAGGCCCTTAACTCTTTTTATGCTAGGACTTAAGTCCAAACACATAACATACTACATCATGATTTTAGGTACTTGGAGCTTGGAAAACTCGCATGAATCATTAGTTGGCTCGGTGATCAAAATATTGCCTAAAAATCAATTTCTACTTGACTGAGTAAACGACCTACAAATAAGCTAAAACCTTACCAACTTATTTAACATGATTTATAACGATATATAGAGTACTAATCTCGGCTTTGGCACGCATGGAACTTGAATTCCGAATTTAGGGCTTAATTAACATGAAATCCCAAAACCTTCATATCACTCGTGCATGTCTCAGTTTCTATGATTGATAAACCTTAAAATGTTAAGGATAAGCTGAAAAGATGGTTGAGAAGGTGATTGCTTTCACCAAGTTCAAAAATGAACAAAAAGAGGAGCTCTTTGTCTCTTCTCGGCTGTTGCTCGACAACGACGATGCTCAAGTGAATTCACGATGCAACGACTGAAAGGAGGAGTTTATTAGGATGTAATTAGCTTCTAGGTTCAGCCTTGCTCGAAGGAACTTGAAAGAATGACCATTTGCTCATCGTGGACGTATGGCTCGTGGTAAGGGCACGGAGAAGAATCGTCGGGCTATGGTCAAAATTTGCTATTTTTGTGGAACTTTTCCAATTATTTGGACGTCCCTTACCTATATTTCAGGGCGAGCTTATAATGATGAAGAGGACTCCATCCATTCGCATTAAAATATGCAAAGTTGGATTTTTCCCCACACCTAATCTCATTTTCTTGGGTTCGGTGCCAAGGAGGATGAGGAGCGGATTTTTAAACCTTTATCTAATGATAATATGCGGTCAAAGTCTTTATTGACTGAGGAAATGGGCTGAAAACTAGTTGGGCCTCGGTTAGGCCCTGGCTGGGCACTGGCCAGTCGCTGGGCCGCGCTAGCAGGACTCACGCTGGGCTGCATTGTGGGCCTCGCGCGTGGGAACGGACTGCAACGATTTGGCCAAGGTTGATAGCTTGCTAATCACTACGGATTGGGCTAAGTTTGCACCAAATATTTGGTTGAGACATGGGCTAAGGCTCATGGCATTGCTTGGGCCGAGTGACGTGTTGAGCGCACTCTGCTGCACAATGCTGTTGCCCCATGTGGAACTTCTAGGGCAATGACTCGGCCGTGCTTTACTCGATTTTTATTTTAGGCTCGATTTTCTATAATCGATTGAATACTCAAGGATTCGATTATCTTCTCGACCAATGCTACTTATTTGTTGTTCATGAAGGAAAAATGAACTGAGTCTTGGATAAAATATATGTTCGGCTTCGATATAAAATCTAATTTGAATATTTCTCGTTTTAAACTTGAACTTGCAACTTATGAATTGAATAGCTTACACTCGAAAACTAAAATCAAGTATTTATTAATAAAGATTAGATTACACTCAGAAGCTAAAAGTTGCTTAATTATCAATGAAATACTGAGGTGTTATAGCGCCGACCTGTCATCTCAGAGTTACTGTACGATGGGATAGCGTGAACAGTACCCGAACAGTACCAAGCCAAAGATACTATGAATAGGAAATACAATTGATATATTATGGGTTGTTGAACATTCCACCAACTATTTCTCTCTCTACATTTACTTAATCTGTAATAATTTTCCGTGAATACCCCAAGTGCAACCAAAGTGAAGACCTCAATATCAGTGGCTGGCCTCGTAATTAAGTAATAAAATCCACTTATCTCGTAAAACTCCCTTTTCTTATCCTTTTTATAACTCTCTTAGTTTTTATTTAACCGTTGATCGGATCCTACCATCAACAGTTTGGCGCTAGAGGAAGGGCACCATAATTTGCTTGGTGTTAATTTTCGATCTAGTGGTATACCACTTCAAACTTCACTTTCTATTTCACTTTTCTTGCCAAAATCGCAAGAAAGGTGACTTCATCCAGTCATAATGAATCGACTCATCAGTCCGAAGATCAGATGCATTGTCGTGAAGATGAAGAACCCTCACACCGGCGCCAGCCTAGGCCCTAGACCAGGTCCCGCCGATACTGACTTTCACAGTGGAGATGCTACATCCCGACGTCCTCAAGGTCCTCGAGGGAGCCTTTGCCAAGGCATTGGCAAGCCACTCAGCCGGAGCGGCATAGCGGCTGTGATAGAAAATATGGCCACTTCAAACCCATAGAAAGAGGTCGGTGGGAAAGTAAAGGGGCCAGCTCGGTCCAAAACTACCGCACAATCCCCAAATCGCAAAGCCCAACTTCGCTGGGAAAAAGGCGTCGGTCCGACACTCACTGAACAGACCGACGAAAGCTCGCCGACACCGAAACCCGCAGATCCGTCTATCAATGCCTAGGCGAGAAAAGCCTAAAAAATTGTGACATGAGGGAGGAAATTGAAGGAAATACCATTAGGCGCGACTCAGACAAGGTCGTAGCCCTCATACGGGAAATCCTTGAGCTTGAAGCCAGGCCCACATCACTGGGGAAACCTTCATCTCCACCCCACTTGTGGTCTGACGCAAGAGTCGTAGACAACACAACACCTCTCTCTGGACATTCTCTAGTTGGCTTTGCCAGAGAAATTCAAAGTCTCGAATATCGGACTCTATAATGGGATCTCAGACCCTGACTTTCACATTGGCCTATACATTTCCTAGATGTACTTACAAGGTGCCACAGACGCCCTTTGGTGTAGGATGTTCTGACTAACATTGGGACCAAAAGCTCAGAGGTGGTACCACTTACTCTACCCTCACTCTATCTCAACCTGGGGTCAGCTCAGATCGGCGTTTTGATCGCACTTCATTGGCTCACCGATTAACATCACCTCCAAAGAGTCGATCACGAATATTGTTCAGGGCGCCGAGAAAGGCCTGACAGATTATATCGCTCGGTTCAATGACCTAGTAAAAAATATGGAGCATTGCCACCCCGAAACCCTGCTGGTGTCTGCACAGGTCAGCTTCGGGGCGAAGACGTTGTTCAAATGGGCTCTGTGCTAGAATAAGTTGAGAACGTATCAAGAGTTCTTTGCTCGGCACAAGATTATATAATGGTGAATAAATCAATGTCGATCCCAACGTTCGAGGCAACACCGTCCAAAGGGAAGGCAAAATAAGAGAAATCGACAAAGCCAACCAAGAACTTGGCCGAAGTGAGAGCACTGAGGAAGTAGAGAGCGGTGTAGCTCAAATAAAGTTACCAGGGCAACATTTTAGTAGGAGCGACGATGGTCTATTAGAAGATTAAGTCCAAGGGGTTGATCCTCCACCTAAAAGCGATGCAAAACGACAAGAGTCGACACGACAAATCACGGTACTCTGCTTATCATAAGGGGCATGGGCACAATACTGACCAATGCCGAAACTTGATCTCAACATTAATGAAGCTGATAGATGACCCACAGGTGAAGATGTTCACTCACTCCAACGATCGAAAGAAAAGGGAGCAATTTGAGGCCAGTCCCGACAGTGACGATGACTCAGAAACTCATCATAGGAGGAAGAGGCCACCAACGGGTGACAACCAAGAAATTCTGACTTTATGTCCGACACATTAGGATGAGGTCGGCCCGTCAAGAGGAAGAAATAGAGGCCAGTCCCCAGCCGCTGAGGAGACAAGCCGACATACCCACCTTGGCGCTTCAACACAATTCAGGGATGCTTTATTCCTTAGAGGATACATAAAGAGGTTTATGCCCGCCAAGATTATCATGCTGGAAAGCAAGTGCAGCACGCCAACAACAGGCCGGCACCAGAGCCCACCCATAACCAAATTTATTTTACCACTAGATCACCTGCATCCGATGCCTTAGTGATAACGACACCCATCATGGCCATCAGGGTTCACCGCATTATGGTCGAAACTGGGGCCCAAGCGAGCATTCTATATTACGATACCTTCAAAAAGATGGGTGTCGACCTTAAGGAGGTGCAACGTCGAGACTGGATCCAAGACTTTGACGAGAAAACAACATTACAGATGGGGCAAATCACGCTGCCCCTAAAATTTGGGGGAGATAGGCAGCCCACGAGAATGGTTAGGAGACCTTTAAGATCGTGTATTGCCCCAATGAATACAACGCCATCTTGGGGTGAACGACTTTGTATAAGCTGAGAGCAGCTGTCTTAATTTTCGATTTCTCACTTATGTTCCTAACCTTATATGGAGAGGACACCACCTCGGAGATCAACGGGCCAGGCTAGAAAGTGTGTCTTGGCTATTCCACACACTGAAATTAACATGGCCAACTCTAACCAAACTGCCAACCTCATGGAGATAGAAGCTGTGGGGGTCGACGCCTCAGACCGCATGAATGTGGATGCTGGGCCAACACCACCCAGCCTGAGGGACGACCGCATGCTAGTTGACCAAACAAGTCCGCTCCCCTCACCGGCAGGCGACGCTGACCCAGCAGATGACGAGTCCAGAGCCGACCTTAACTGAGATAGAGAACAAAGGGCAGACAAAGAGTTGATTAGAGAAGCAAACGAGCTCGACCCTCGAACTCAGTATGGGGAGAAAATGGGCACAAAATGAGCCGAGCCCATGGACGAGGTCAAGATCATATTCATATATGAGGAAACCTATCAGAAGCAATTGCGGATAGGGAGTAAGCTGTCGGGGGCCATCAAAGCCTAGCTGACGCAGTTTCTTCGAGAAAACGCAATCGTCTTCGCCTAGACTCATGAGGACATGTCTTTCATCGACCCTAAGGTCGCCTGCCATAGGTTGCAGATCGAGCAGGAAGCTAAGCCAATCATCCAAAAGAGAGGAAAACTAGGCCCAGACCGACAGTAGGCTCTCGAGAAGGAAGTAAATAAGCTAAAAAATCAACAAATACATCCATGAGGTATGCTACTCGACCTGGTTAGCCAACTCGGTACTTGTAAAGAAAAGAAACAGGGATTGGCGCCTATGAATCGACTTCTCTAATCTCAACAAGGCATGCCCGAAAGATAGTTACCCTTTGCCCCACATCGACTACATGGTCGACGCTACCTCGGGTCACGAGCTATTGAGCTTCATGGACGCTTACTTGGGCTACATCTAAATCTCCATGCACCTGGATGACGAGGAACACACCTTCTTCTACTCGACACATGGGCTTTACTGCTACAAAATAATGTCGTTCGGGCTAAAGAACGTCGGAGCCACCTACTGAAATTTGGACAATAAAATGTTTTCTAGTTTGATAGGTGTTAGCACGGAGGTTTATGTCGATGATATGTTAGTAAAGTCCATGTATGCATCTGATCATGTGATCGACCTTAATAATTTTTTTTTCTATTTTGCGTGATTATTTAATGAAACTAAACCCAAAAAAATGTACTTTTGGCTTCGGCTCGGGCAAATTTCTAGGCTACATTGTTTGCCAGCACGACATCAACGCAAATCCCGAGAATATCAAGGCAATACAAGATCTCCGACCTTCGACGTCGATTAAAGGAGTTCAAAGTTTGATGGGGAAACTCCTCGTTCTTAGCCGGTTCATCTCTAAATCGACGGACCAGTGCAAGCAATTCTTCGAAATGATAAAGAAAAATCACAAGTTCAATTGAACCCCCGAATGTCAAAATGCATTGAAAACAATCAAGGACGTGCTCAGCGGGGCTCTAACAATGCAGAAGCTCTGATCTGGGGAAATATTGTACCTATATCTTGGAGTTTTCGACATCACCATAAGTGTTTCTCTGATTAGGGAGGAAGCCTTATGCCAATATCCAGTCTACTATGTGTTCAAGGCACTGCACGATGTTGTGCTGAGGTATGCCTCGATTGAAAAGTTAGCATTCACCCTCGTGAATGCATCTCAGAAGCTGAGATCATACTTCCTCGAATGCTCAGTAACCATCCTCACAGCCTATCCCTTAAGGCAAATCCTCCACCGACCCAACACCTCGGATCGGAGGTGAAGTGGGCGGTCTAGTTACGGCAATACGATGTTCATTACTAACCACGAACAACAATAAAAGGGCATGTACTTCCAGACTTCATAGTCGAATTCACGTCGGGAGTCGAGAAGACCAGAGACGATGAGCCATGGGTAATGTACGTGGATGGATCATCCACTGTCGGACGAGCAGGCAGAGGGGTCTTCCTCGTAGATCCCCAAAAGACTCTTTTTTGCCACAAGATTTAATAACTCTTCCCGGTGACAAACAACAAAGACGGATATGAATCATTGTTGTACGGAATGGCCTTAGCAGAAGCCATGAATCTGAACAATCTAGTCATACTCAGACTCGATGCTGAAGGTCAAGAAAATATACGATGAGTACGAAGTGAAGAAGCCAGGCTCGTACCCTACCTCGACTTAGTGAAGAATAGACTGGCGAAATTCATAGCTCGAATGGAGCACATCCCCAGGTCGAAGAACGTGAGATGATGCCCTAGTTCGGCTCGTTTCAAGCACCAAAATAGAAAGCATCGAGTACGTTCAGTTCGGGCACAAGAAACAACCGTCCATGGTCGGCACTTTCATTTTATGTTTCGGGCAATCTGCCAACGATAATGACCCGACCTGAATGGAGCCGGTCAGGCCGTATCTCAAGACCGGTGCGTTGTCGTTTGACCCAAAGGAGGCCAGGAAGCTTCGCAAGCGGCATCCCGATTCTCGATTGTGGCCAGCGAACTTTTCAAAAGGGGGTACTTGGCACCCCTGCTGTAATACCCCGTTCGATTGTGGATTATTTAGAATTATTTAAGTACTAATGCATTATTATTATTATTATTATTATTATTATTATTATTATTATTATTATTATTATTATTATTATTATTTATATTAAATATATAAATTGTCTAATTGTTATTAATTGGTTATTATTATAAATATTATTGTGTGATTGATATATATATATATATATATATATAATGTCCGGTTAAATAGATTCGTGTTGTCGCATTTCCTTATCGAGCCTTGAGTTATTTTTTGGGCCAATTGAAGACTTATTTTCCAGCCCAACATGATCAATTTCTTTAGCCTTGGTTTTATTTATTTTCGGGCCCTTTTCACATATATTTATTCCTTAGCCCATTGGGAGATATTTGTGCTTGGCCCAACAAGAATTAAAGCACGCATCTTACCTTTCTCTTTCGCTTGGAGTCGGTGGTCTCCCCTTATCATCACCGTTCAAAAGTTTTGTTGAGATATTTTGGGAGATTCTGCCTCGCACGTTCTCTTCTCTACAAAAGACTCGTTCGTAGGCGTTCTCTTCTTCGACCCTCTTTAAAATCTGAGCGAGAAAGTAAGAGCCTTCTGTGTCCTCTGTTTTTCCCAAACTGCCACGTGCTCCCATATAAATCCGTGTGTGACATTGATTCTGACGAGCTCCTCTCATCCTCGTCGGCGTCCTCTCGTCCGCGTACAACCTGCCCTCCATCGACGAGCCTTAGCTGTGAGCTGTCAACATTCCCGCAGCCACAGTCGTCTGTCCCGAGAAGCCATAGCCACCGTCTACTTGTGCGTGTCCCATCGCCGGAACTTGTTCTCGCTGTATTTTCGTTCGTCGTCGTGAAGAACCTGTCAGTTGCGAGAAGGTTGTGTCCAGTCCTTGGGTTCGATATCTCTGAGTTTTGAGGCCTTGTTCGTTTGTACGTTCGTCCCGATCGTCTCGTCCGTTTTCCAATTTTCTCGAAGACGGGTATCCTTTTCGAAACCCTCTTGTTAATTTTCATTCAGAATATTATCATTCTATTATTTTCTTTCGCGTTGAATCGTTTTGTTGGGTTTCGAATTCGACTTAATTTTTGTTTTGTATGTTCGTTATTTATTTCATATTTTCGTGAAATTTCGTGGATTATCGGAACTCTTGTTTATCGTATTAATTGAGTCTCATTGCCGCTGTTTCGAATTCGTGTGATTTCAGTGTCTCGTCTTGTCATTTCGAGCCGTCGTCTTGTAGTTTGGATCGTTCGTATCCCCGTCGTTGGTTTTGTATTATTTTTTTCGTTTCGTTAACTTTTTAAACCCGTTTTCAAAAAATATTTTCAAAACTCTGAAAACTTATTATTTTTATAAGTCTCGATCCCGGTTGTCGTTGGATATGAAGTCGTCGAATTTGGTTAAATTTATTCCAGCTCTGTTTGCAGCCCCTGTTCCCAGTTTTATTTGTATAGTTGCAGGTTTTCTGTTTAAATTCAGTAAACTAAAATTGTTTAAATATATGCAACTGAGCGTGTAGCGTAGTGGTTTTCAATGTTCTTGTTTGTGCGTGTGGTCATGAGTTCGAACCCCAGCTCTTGCGTTGGAACCATTCTTTTATTTATTTATTGAAAGCAGCCCAGCGCGCGGGCTGCTTGGCCCGTTTCAGCCCGCACCTGCCCTCAGTTCTGGCCCACTTGTAAGCCCTGTGGAGGCCCGCACCATCCAGCTGATACCAGGCCTTGTAGCTGCGGCCTAGCGTGTTCCTCGGCCCATTCTTTTCTAATTTGCGGCCCAAATTGCGGGAATGAGGCCCAACTATGGGGCAGTTTTAAATTGTAATTGACAGCTCAGCCCAGTTTGACATTTTAGCCTATTTTGAGTTCCGGAAGCCATTTTTCGTACTGATTTTAAATTTAAAAATATTTTTAAAATAATAAAATTTTGGAAAAAATTATTTTAAGTTCCGAGACCCAAATTTACTTCTCCGAGTCATATTTTTAAAAAATTAGAGAGTTGCAAGTCCACGAAAAATCCTATAAAAACCCTTAAATCTTAATTTTCATTAAGTATGGGTTTTATGTTAAATTCGAGTGGTGAGATAGATTATTAATATATTATATCGCTTAAATGTAGGTATTTGAGGAGTCGAGCTCTCGACCTACGAACTTGCTTTTGTGTGATATTCTACCTCAATTTCTAGGTGGGTTTTAATCTAAAATTTGCTATGTTATAAATGAGGTAAGATTTTTATACTGAGTGTCTATGAATGTATGTGTGAGTCATGAGACGGTGCCTAGTGGTGGGCGATCTCTAACCTTGTGATTGGTAGACTCATTTTAGCCTAGTCGATGGGCCGTGACCGTTGTTGTTGAACCTCGGCACGACTGTACTCCCGCTGACGAGTTTGGGCTTACCCCTGGCGGCTTTTGATAGGTGTGCACATGATTATAGTGATGAGTAGGAGAGTGGTGTGTTATATCTTTTGACCACGTACTTGCATATGACTCTAGTATAGGATTCTTACCAATATATTATGCATAGTGGTGAGTACCTCGTTTATATTTGTGCTCATCCCCACCTGCTCTTCATTGATGCAGGTTAAGCACGTGTTGGACAAGACGAGACTAAAGACGAGTGGGTGGTCAAACATTATTAATGTTTTTTATTGCTTTCGCATGCTTTGATATTTATGATTATCAGACATTGTTATTGTTCCCTATCGTTTTTGGGATTGGTTGAAGTGTTTGAACCATGTGGATTATTATTATCAGATTGGATTATGTTGACAATCCTATTGCTAGATATGTTGAAATCTAGTCTTGGAACTTGGATTATGTTGGATATTCTCGTTTCCCTTATGCTGATTATGTGTTTAACTTTGGAAAGTTCTCAAGTAACGCCAAATGTTTTATGAATCTATAAATGGTTTTCGAAATTTTAAAACAAGATTTTTGGATAAGCCCGGAATTGTCTTTAAAAATCTTTGGGGCGTTACAGTTTGGTATCAGAGCCAGTCTGCGTTTCTGTAGACTGGTTTATATGTGATTAAGTGATTGTGTGAATTGATCTTGTGTGTTGACCAGTCGTCTTCGTCATGCCGCACTGCTTAAGGTATGATTTAAATAAGTATTAATGTATATACTTGAGTAATGTATTGCTAATATTTGGGGTTAGTTTTTATCCACCGTTGAATAAACTCGAACGCTAGTGTTTATGATAAATGCTAGATCTTTCATAACTGTGCTAAAATTTGCGGCTTATTTTTCAATATAGAGAAATGGGTCGTCAAACCCGCAATAGCAATCATCAGAAACCACCTCCCCCGCCTCCTCCTCCTCCTCCTCCTCCTCCTCCTCATCAGCATGCTCTGGGTTGAGATCCCATTACCCAAGTTGTGATCGATTTCCGTAACATGTATCCTCCAGCGTTCACCGGAGTTGAGGGCCCCGAAGCTGTGTCTGAATGGCTTCAACAGCTGGAGAGTATCTTCGATCTGTTGTTCACCATCGATGAGGTGAAAATCCATTGTGCCTCGTTAGTGATGACTGGAGATGCTAGGACTTGGTGGAATGACTACTGGAGGCTTCGTCCTCGTGCTGAGAGGGATGCCTTGACTTGGGACCAGATGGTTACTATAGTTAAGGACAAGTATTATCCAAAGGCTCACCGTGCCCAGATGATGAAGGCCTTTCATTTCCGTGATGGTCTTCGCCCCGACCTTTGCTACACCCTGACTGGCCACGGAGCTCTGCCATACTCCGAGATGGTCCGCCGAGCCACCGAGTTAGAGGTTTGCCAGAATGCCCAGAGGGCGACTGCCCCATCCTACCAGCAGACCCCTATGATTCAGCCTATCTCAGCTGTTGCGCCCGATTCTAATTCGGGCAAGAGGAAGGCCGACTACCATCAATACAAAAAGAAAGAAAAGAAAGAGAACTTTGGGAGGCATGACGACCGACCCCCTCAGGGACAGCTTCCGAGGTGCCCTAACTGCGGCAAGTTCTATAGGCCAATAGAGTGCCGAGCAGTCGACAGACACTATTTCAATTGCCACCGTGTCGGACACTTTTCGCATGTGTGCCCCGAGCCGAAGAGGCCATAGCAGCAGCCATCCTACCCTCAGCAGCAGCTACCCTACCCTCAGCAGCAGCAACAACTTCTACCTCTACCCCATCAGCAACAGCCCAGACAGCCGCCACCTTACCAGCAGGGGGCTGGGGGTCAGGCCCGCGTGTATACCATCACTCATGATGAGGCAGCCAACAACGCAGGTACTATGTCCGGAATGCTTTCGATATATAATGTGCCTGTATATGCTTTATGTGATACCGGAGCCACTCATTCTTTTATTTCTACTTGTTGCTTGGAGGCTTTGTCCATTAGTAATGTGTGCCCTTGTGACCCTCTCGAGGTTAGTCTAGCCTCGGGAAAGATTATTATTTCCAATTCTATGATTCCCAGTCTTCCAGTCAGTATTGGTGGGCATATTTTGGAAGCCAGTGTTTATGTGATTGAAATGCGGGACTTCGATGTGATCTTGGGCATGGACTGGCTCACCTGCTATCGAGCCGACATCCGGTGCCAGGAGCGCGAAGTCAATCTCTTTCCCGTTTCTGATCAGCCAGTTGTATCCTTTGGGGTGAAGTCGAGGATTGTGCCTCGACTCATCTCTTTTATGCAAGCTAGGAAGAGCCTTTCTAAGGGTAGCTGTCAAGGCTATCTTGTTTCTATGGTGTCCGAGGATGATTCCGAGCAGACTCCGGAGCGAGTTTCTATTGTTTGCGAATTCCTTGATGTTTTTCCTGATGAGCTGCCCAGAGGACCACCCGACCGCAAAGTGGAGTTCACCATTGACTTAGTACCGGGAGCTGGCCCCGTGTCTAAGGCCCCTTACCGTATGGCGCCGAAGGAGCGTCAAGAGCTTAAGGCCCAGATCCAGGAATTGCTCAGACTCGGTTTTATTCGACCGAGTGTTTCGCCGTGGGGAGCGCCCGTCCTATTCGTGAAGAAGAAAGACGGATCAATGCGTATGTGTATTGACTACCGGGAGCTGAATACCCTTACAGTCAAGAACAAGTACCCCCTTCCTCGTATTGAGGATCTCTTCGACCAGCTGAGGGGAGTCAGCGTCTTTTCTAAGATCGACTTGCGTTCCGGCTATCATCAACTGAAGATCCGGGAGTCGGATATATCTAAGACTGCTCTTCGTACACGCTATGGCCACTATGAGTTCGTAGTCATGCCGTTCGGACTCAGCAATGCCCCAGCAGTTTTTATGGACCTTATAAACCGGGTCTTTCATTCCTATCTGGACCAGTTTGTCATTGTGTTCATCGACGACATCCTGGTTTATTCCCGAGACATCAACCAACACAAGGAGCATCTGAGGATTGTGCTGGAAACCCTTCGCCGCGAGAAGTTGTATGCCAAATTTTCGAAGTGCGAATTCAGGCTGGATCGTGTTGTTGGAGTAGTATACCCGACGTTCCAATCAGATTGGACGTATTCTACTTGTAAATACAATATATTGGAATTATATTAAATAATAAGGCATTACTTTATTTTAAGAGTAAGCATTTATCATATATTTGCACTTAACATAAAATCCCTAGATAACTTATAGCTATAAGATATGGTTGAGCATAGAGATGGTGATCATGGAACATATCTT